GGCTATCATCTTAGGTTGTTCTTGACCCTCTTTCCAGTAGTTGTGATGAATAGTGAATGATGGCCAGATACCATATCCCTCTATCCTGAGGGTTCATTGATTTGGCAGTCTACTCAGATATTGATACTCATTTACCTAGGTTTAACGCCAACCCACACTGGTTTGAAATATAGCAAAGGGGGTTAATAGTAGAATTAGACGTGTTGTAAGTCGTATCATTCTGTTGAAGGGTATGCATCCAAATATAATCCCTGTTTACTAATCATTCGCCCATGATACTGCACATCGATATTTTACTGGATTTATTATCGGAGTTCAATTTTTTGGGAAAATATCAATGTTTCATCATTACTGGAATATATCACATGAAAATCGTACTGGAAAATTATTTATTAATAAAGTTTTTTAAAATTACATAGTTTCAAATACAATTAAAGACTTTGTTTTTTAATTTGTTAATTATGACTATATAAATATATTCTAATTAAAATAAAAGTTAACATTTTGAAAATGGCATTCTTTAAATATTGGTGTTTTTTCTTTATCATTATTATCAGAAAGAATATTTCTTGTTAAATTCTGTGATTCAAGATTTGTAATTTGTGAAATTTGTAATAGTTGCATATTAAAATCTTGAATTTGTTGAACAGACACATTATCGGTAATATTTTTTATTTGAGATTCTTGATGATCTTGTAAATTATAAGTGGAAATAATATGTTGCAATGTATCCATTTTTTGTTGATCATTTGGTACTTTATATTTTCGTATTGCATCAATACTTCGATGACCTGTAATATTCATAATAACTTGTTCTTCCACATTAATATCTTGCATTAGTTATGCAGATTTCTTTCGCCCAGAATAGTTAGTCAATAAACCATCAACTTCAATACCAGTTTTATTAGCAAGATCTTTCATAAATCCAGATAAATTATTTCAACCAATATGTTGTTTGCGATACCAGATTCCAGTTTCCTTCCCTATAAATTAAAATTTGTAAATACTTAAAAAATAAATATAAATTTATAAAATAAACTTACATTTTGGATTGGTCTGTAAATAAAAATCTGATTCTGCATCTAATGGTTTTTTTTCAAAATATAATTGATAATCATAGCAAGGTCCTCTAGTATTAGGTAAATCAACTGGAATAGGAACTTTTTGTGCTATACCACCCATTATTTCTTGTTGATTATTTTTTGCACAAAATCTTTGAAAATCAATTCCACCATCTTCGCAAAAATTAAATTGAATAATTTTTAATTGATAATGCTCACCACCCCGACAAGCTAATAAAAATGCATTGTAAAAAAATACTCTTTTAATAAGACTATCTGGAGTTGATATTGAAGTTGTAGAATTTGATAAAATATCTGCAATATTTTATCGAGTTAAAGCTACAGATCCTTTACTTCACCAAGCCTATTATCTTGAAGCATTTCATTTTACCATCAAGAACTCTTGCTAAAACAGGAAACTGATGATGATCCTGTAAATTTATTCCATGAATTATTGAAAATTCCATTAAATGTCGATTAATTCCATCAACAGCTTGTTTTATTGTTAATGCTTTATATTCAGTTCCATCCTTTTTTTCATAGTAGCAATGTAACCTGCTACTTGATTTTCTAGTATAGACATATCTGAAATAAGATGCAATTGTATTTTATATTGCTCCTCTTGTGAAGAAGAATCAACCATATCTTTTCGAAATTTTTCAAAATGTGCTAACCAATTTTTTGTTGCTCTCTCTGTATTTTGAACATGTGATTTTTTTTGATAAAATGAAATTGCTTTTTCAATTTCACTATTTTTAGATATTTTAGGTTGTAAATATGGATTATTTAAAAGTTCGCAGGCAGTATTAAATTGTGTGTTATTATTTGATTTCATTTTAAATTTTTGTGAGAAAGAAAAATTTTTTTTAAAAAATAATTGTTAACAAATAGTTTAGTTAATTATTAACTTTATAATACATGATACAATTATTACATAATCATTTATCATGGGCGTTAGTAACCATGAAATATATTAGTTATTTACCGCTCAATCACCGATATCACAGGGATCACGGCTCTGCCATGATCCCTGATGATATCTCTGATTTCGCGATAAATAACTATTACATATTACCACTTGTGCGTGTCTAGTAAAAGTATCAAAAAAAATGATTTCGACTATTTCGACCATTTCAGATATCTGAAATGATCTATTTCGACTTCATGTATAATCATAACGCTTTCATTGCTCACGAACTAAATCCTAATGCAAATTATTCTCTTTTCGATGAATTTGCCTTGTTGCCCTTTTTATTTGATCTATCAGAATATCTCTAGCCATTGCCCTATTATTCACATAGCCATCTATAGCATTTGCTAGCTCTGTAATTGTGGCCATATTATCATCAGAATTATACAAGTCTGGAGAATTCTCTCGTTCAGAGGAATTTTTTCGTGATGAGATGCTTCTGATCCAGCATCGCAATTTCTTAACTTATTCTTCAGATTCTACTAACTGCTCTTTTAAACTAGAAATATATTTTCCCTTATCTCACACATCTTTCCTAGCTTGATATAGCTGACTTATTAGGATAGAGATTTCAGATTTTAACTCTACTATCTCTTCTTTTGAAACATTTTCAAGGTGCTCTATCTCCCTATTAAGATTATGAATTTCTTATTCATACTGGGAATAATCTCACTTCAGTTGATTAATTCGTCTTTCATTCTGGCGATTAAGATCCACCTCTGTCTGCAATTTACTATGAAGATGATAATTCTTCTCCTCCAACTCAGCTTTATGTTCTTCACATGTTCTTCTCTGCCTTGGATGAGACCTCTGAAATGCCATTCTTTTTTCATGATTATATAGAAAGATGGGAGAACTGGTTATTTATATAGATCCTCAAAAAACACATAATCTTGACCAGGATCTTACTTTGCAAAAATACAAGGAAAAAGTACCCCTAACTAATGAGAAGAATCTAACTTCATAGATGCCAGTTTTTTTTCTGCCTCCTGCAACTGCATCTTCAGATCCTCATTTTCATATCGCAATTTCTTATTCATACTAATCCGCTCTCTATATTCCCTTTCTATGTCTTGCATGAATTTTTCAAAAGTTCTTTTATTATAATCATATAGATGCTGACAGAATACTTTAAGTTCATTCATAACTCAGCGATTATTCTCTTCTTTATTATTGCAGGTGCTATTGTCCGTTTGGACTCTACTATCTACAACATGTATAGTCAGTAATGCTGGGGATACATTATATTCTGGCCAGCTTCGAGGGCGCAATGTTTTTCCTGAGTCATAGTTTTACGTTTCTTCCTATTTAACAAATTCTCATAAACATCCAATATGTGTCTCAAATAAGATTCAATTCGTTCAGACTTTCTGAAAATAGATTCTAATGGAACAGGATGTTTAGAATAATGCAAGAATCTCTGATATGCTCTCTTGGCAAGACTTTTGGGTAGACTATCAATAATATGCTTATAGTCTGAATGGAACATTTTATTAGATATAGTTTTGTGCTAAAAAAGTTTGCATGCAAAATAGTCCTATAGCATATAGCATATAGCACTATAAATTTTCACGCTAATATCACAAATTGCGTCACATCTGGTAAGGGATTGGCTTTGATCGCGTAGTATTAGTATGTTAATATTCAAAAATAAAAAATCACATGATTTTCCCTCACGGCCTGTAAGCGAAATTTGCCAAGAAAATTTTATTATTCAATATACTCACTTTATTAATAATATAACTTAATAAAATACATGTATTGAATCTCTATTCTATGAATTTTTTGGGGTCGAAACTGTTACTACCAGGGTTGGGAATTTTGTATGTACTAGATAAAATTACCACTGTACTTGTACTGTACTTGTACTAATTTTTATATTAATTATTATAATGTACTAACTGTACTAACTGTACTAATCATTGTACTAATACTGTACTTTCCAACCCTGGTTACTACCATTTCACTAAAACTATGCTCACTATCCTCAGAGTCATGACTATATAATATTTTGTGAATTGTACATGCTACAACTGTTCTCAATATTAATAAAGTATGGATAAGCGGATATACAGCACTCAGTGAAGTCATATGCAACAAAATTGTTGCCTCATCTTTTAAACAGTACTTATAAATATCCGATTCTTTCCGCATAGTATAAAGTTCCATAACATCACCTAGAAGTGGATAGAGTAGAATATGAACGATTTATAAATATATAAAAAATAGAAGTAATTTATTTGTACCTGCGATGTTAATAGTGAATATGGTCAGATTCTGCTTCCTTGATAGTTGGTTAAATATCTTTTTAAAGTTTTTTATATTCCTCGTGGTATTGATAGAATCCTTAGAAAAATGTATTAATTTTTTGTGATCACAATCCCGCTTATCTTGACTGGAATTGGATCTACCAGTCTCAAGATAAACAATTTCAAGTTCAGCATTTTTTCTGAACTGGACTACCATCATATAATCAGCTCTTCAGGTAATTTTACGAGAACCTTTTTGTATGACACTAGCTGAACTCCCTTTTTCACCTCTTAATTTAAAAAACATTAATTATAGTAAAAGATATGATAGTGGTGTAATAGAAACTTTTTGAGCTAAGCCTACCATATGTCTTATGCTATTGGGGTTCCTGGTAAATCGCTCATCACTATATTTAATAATGGCGTAAGCACCTCACAAATATATGATCTTTCGTTTACCGATTTTTCCTTCTTTATATATGCATTATATTTTGGCAGTTTCTAAACTTTAAACCTATAATTATTTATTGGTAGTAAAAAATCATATAAACATTTTTCAGCAAGAATTGCTCGCTAGTGATTTACATAGATTCTAACATTTGTTTTGTTAGATCTTGCAATTCTTCGGCTTATCCAACCATTTTCCATAATTAATATTACCCAAAACCTCGTCTATGTTAATTTTCGATTCTTCGTTTTGGATAAATTCTTTACAAGCTTCCATTATATCATGATTCTATTCTAACTTATATTTTTGAAATGACTCCTTAAAAATATCAGAAACTGATTCAGGCATATTTGTAAAGGGTTCTGACTTGATATCTAGAACACCTGAACAAATCAGATGATTGAATCCAAGGTTCTTCACATTTATTTCCTCAAGTTCTGTTTCTATTCTCTCCCACATAATTTTCTCATAACTAGCACTCTTAGTCATGCACCGTCCAACATCACGCTTCAAAGATCGTAAATTTGTATTTACATCTTTATACCAGGCTTCTGTATCGATTACTAACGCTTCCATTTCTAAGTGTAAGCATAAATCTTTGAATGCAGTCATGACCTAAAATATATTTAAAATTAGTTTTCAAGACTCGTTTGACAAAATAATTTCATTTTGCTTCGCAGGATCAGATTAGGTTTCATTTTTCATAAAGTCTCAAGTGTCGGCAAAATGCTTGATATATAACAATATTTCACAATATATAATATAAAACTAGTTACTGCTGTATGGGAAGTAATAATATTACAACGGATATCAGCCTCTTCGCTAGTGATTATACCATACTAGAAAACCTAAAAAAGTATGTCATCATATCCATATATTCATCATAAAAATAGTTATCGCCTTACCTGTTTAGCTAATTTTTTCAGTACCAAAAGTTTGAAGTTTCTTTCTTCGCTCAGCATCTTTTGAGGGGACTCGTTCTAAGACTCTTTTCAGAACATTCTCAAAATTCTCTACCTCTTCCATATTTTGATAGAAAAAAAAAGTTAATATTAGTGTAAAGTTTGCTAGGTGAAGTAAAAAATAATTTACAGTAAATTCCAATACCTTTTCACTATACTGCTTTTTTAAATGTCTCGCATTCCCACATTCTCATTTTTTTGAGCTCGAGTTCTGTGTTTGGAAAGAGATAGGAGAAATATGCAAGGCACTTTACGCCAAAATTTTGTGTTCGAGAATAAGGGCATGTGGAATGTGCATTGAAGATCTAGACATTTTCAAAGAGCATTGGGAATAATGCATATACGAACTTTTTTTCATCTGATCGCTTAATACTAAGACCTACCAACATTATATAAATATGTTCAGTTCAGAATATAATAGAAATAGCCCGTAACTTTGGAGCAAATATACATATTAATAAATGCCATGCTATTCCACTAAATGTTATTCTGTTGTGTTGTAAGAAAAAAATTCGAAATATTTTGGGAGATCGATTTATGTGTGAAATTATTTCATCGCACAAGCATAGTTTCACAGATAATTTGCGGACTATCACATATTACATCATATATACTTTAATGAGGATCAGAAACATGTTTTATTTATGTTACACACTGTTCTCTTATATACATTGTGGCGAAGTGAAGTAAAAAAAAATCTAATGCATAGTTCAATAAAATATGTATTATTATTAAGTTATATGTCAAGAAAGTAATATAGAATATTTCTCAGAATCAGTCAAGTTAGTTAGACAATTGTGATTAGTGTTCCATTCCTCAATTTCAACACAGTGCCTTTTGGCTGTTTTGCATATTGAGATGAGATAAATATTTCGCCTGTATCACTTTTGCAATTCAATGATTGATAAGAAGTTGGTGAAATCACTTCTTACCTGGTAGGTGAAATACAAGCTGATTCGAAATTTGAAACACTTGGCATAATATTTTCTGCCATAATCATTTTAACCTGCTTATATGTTTCATAGCTAATTGAACAACAATCAGAATCATATGATACCGATGCCAATTTATCCTTTTCTAAGTGTGAGGTAGATTGGGAGAAAAGCTCTAGACGAAGACGCTTCATTTCAGCCTCTTCTTGTAATATATACTGTTTATACTACCAGATCTGAAATTTCCTCCTATCAATAGCTTGGAGAATTTCTTTTCTTTTTACATGTTCGATTGAATTAGTAACTCTAGTAATACATCTCTTCAAGTGGCCATCTCGATAGAGAAATTTGCCTATAAGCCTTTCAGGGATGAATACTAGGGAGTCACACACACTACAATATATATAATTTGTTAGGTTTCCGCTAGGATGGAACCCTTTACCATCTTCATAAAACTTTGCATA